GAAGCAGATAAAAAGGGCCTTGTGTGGAGAACCAAATACTTCTTCTACAAGGAAAAAAAAGGTAAGGTAACTCTGGCACTTTGCTATGCTAAGCAACAGAATCCCACACAAAATACTGTTTTCAGAGATCAACCCAGAGCTGAGTCAAACAGCAGTCTGATAGGAATAACTCAGTTGCTGTACCTTATAATCTTTCAAGAAAAGCGTCAACTGATTGACCTTGTTGGTTTGTAGTTGGTGACAAAGTTGCAGTAGGAAATATGACCTCTGCTGCCATACTTGACTCATCTGTTTCAATCAAAAAAAAATAGCAAGTTCCCAAATCATTACAATATTATTTATTTAGGAAACGCAAAGCAGTATAGTACAATTTCAGAGGAATTGTATACCTGGAATGGCACTTCTCAACCGATCCTGTGTACACATTAAAGCCTCAACAGTTTCCGGGAGCAAGCTACGACAGTTGTCATCAATGATCAGCCCTGCTAAGCTAAACGCCGATTCAAATGCAACAGTATATGCTGGAACACTTAGGATGTCTCGTTCCATTAGAGAAATGGTTGGATATTTTGGACCATGCAACTTCCACCATGCAATGATGTCAAATACATCATTATCAATTTCAGGATGAGCAGGATCATCAAGGTACAATTCCAGTTCTGACCTCTTGTGTTGACTTGAGTAACTCTCATGGATAAACCTTGATAAACCTAGCGTGGTAGCAGATAAGCCCATTGATGACTCCAATGGATAGTGGGCATGAATACCCGGCAACAGGTCTAGCAATTATAACTTGTTAACTTTGCTGGAAGGGATGGTCATGGACAAGATAACAACAGTCGCACTAAGTGCATATTGGAGATGCTACAGTATGCACTAAGTGCATATTGGACAATTATAACTTTGTTAACTTTGCTGGAAGGGATGGTCATTGATGCCAACCACACCATTCTAAATTTTCAAATGGTATGGTGGACTGCAAATCACTGAGATATACGATAGAATATCATGCACTTAGAAACAACTACAAGATCAAGATAGAAATGCAGAAAATTTCAAGTGATTCTTACACTTAAGTGCGTATATGAATTCTGCAGAGACAAGATCCATGGGAAAATATTTCAGCCTGTACCATTGAAGAGAACATTACAGCACGAATTTCTTGCAAGTTACAGTACATAAATGTTTGGGAGAAAACTAAATGATGCCTATGGGATATGGAATCAAAAGCGGTTGGCTTGTTACTAGTACTACCTAACCAAAAGTCACAGCCCCTCAGGCCTCAGCCGTGATAAATAAGCACGTTAAGCATTCTGTCGAACAGCTTGTGTGCGAACCTATGAAGGTACGGATTCTAGAAATGCTCTCACCTTGATGTGGTCCCATGGAGACTTTCTAGGTGCGGAGACGGATAGCAGAGGAGATGGATCGGAGAGGCTTCACCTCGCCGCCGCATCCTTCATACCGTCCTCGTCGGGATAGCCGCACCGCCGCCCCGCCGGCTCCATCGTCCTGCCCTCGTCGGGCTGCCAACAGAGCAACGACCCCGCCCTCGTTGCGCTGGTTGCGGCTCCACGGCGCCGCCTCCTTCGTCCCGCCGCTTCCTTTATCGACCTTTCCTCTCTCTCTCTCTCTCTCTCTCTCTCTCTGGTGTGGTTGGGGGCGATTCGGGGATGGGGGCCGGAGGCGGAGGCAAGATTTTTTTTTTTGCTTTCTGGACTGCGCGGGAACGGAGGAAGGGGACGAGGGCGATGGACGAAAAGGGCGGCAGGAGTCGACAAAAACCACCGCGTATATATACAACTAATTTGGAGTTTACTAGCGTGAGTGCGTGACGGAGATGAATGCGGGAATTTGAGATTTCGCAAAACAACGCCGGAATTTGGAGTTTGTAATATGGCCACCGATGGACTTGCAATATCTTTTTGAATCAATGAACTTACGATATTGGTCATCAAATTATCATTGTTTTATTTTGACGTGGTTAGATGAGTTACTGACATTTTTGCGCCTAAGCATTTCAAGAAAAAGTACCGCAGAGTAACTCGTAGCCTCAAAATAGGATCCCTACTTGATATTTGAGGCCCTTATTTTCTGAGCTACACTCTAGCAGAAGCCCTCAAAACAGAGCTCTACTCTCAATTTCCTCTATTTTCTCGTACATTATATGCATATGTATTTGAGATCATCACATTATATAACAATTTATTTAAACTATAACAATATAAAGCACTATACATAAAACTATAAATGAAAATCTTAGTATTCAAATTTAAAATCAAACAAAATTTTGGTCCAAAATTAATGATAGTCGGTCACAACATAGTTCATAACATTTCTGCAAATCAAATGACTTAATCATGAAACATAAAGTCAGACAAAAGAAATAACTTGCACCATGTCACGCCCACGGATGCTCTATGTACAAGAAACAAAATGCTGTAAATTTTGCTTCATTTGGTATTCACTAGAGTACACATGCATGGATTTCAAGATGGTGTGCGAGTTTGGAGGGAAAAATTCAAGTGTTTCACTGCTAAAAAACGATTTGTAGCAACATCCCTTTTTTTAAGGGAGGCTCTATATTGAGCCGCCCCTACAAATGGTGCCCAAATGAGCCACCCCTACAAATTCATTTGTAGGGGCTGCTGGTGTTATCAGTCATCCCTATAAATGACCTGATTTGTAGGGGCGATTTAATATTGAGCCACCGACGCCGAATAGTTAAAATTAAGCACTAAAATTTGAATTTTTTCAAACCACCTCGGATAGAGAAATGACCCAAATAAAAGTTATAGATCTCGAAAAGTCATGGAACTTTGTTGTTTATAACTTTTTTATTTGAAATCATTTACTGCTTTAAAATATTGTTTGAAATTTAATTTTAAAATTATTGGAGAACTCTAATTTCTCTTTTTAATCTCTGGCTAAAACTTCTAACTAGTCTTTCTCTCGCATACTAACTTGAAATTTGATGATTTTTTTTCTAAAATTTTCTAAAGTCATGCTCTATCAATTTATTGTATTCTTAGAGCTATTATTTTATCCATCTTTTCATGTAACTGTGTTTTATCTATTTGAATTTTGAATTTCAAAAAATGACAACTTCAAACGTCATTTTGAACATTAAATGATTTTAGCTGCAAAAATCGTGAACATAAAAGTTGTAGAACTCTTCAAGATCTATAACTTTTATTTTGGTCATTTCTTCATCTAACAAGTGGTAGTAACATTGTTCATAAAATTTATAAATCTCTCTTATAATTTTGTAAACTATGAGAGGGATATGTAAAATTTCTAAACAATGCTAGTACTACTATATGTGACAGTAATTTTAAGAGACCCTATAGAAACCAAACACCTGGTGGTGCCAGATTTGATGTTTTTGGATTTCACATTGGCGATAAACTTGCAGCCTGTTCGGTTGGCTGGTTCGTTTCGTTGCTGGTTCGTGAAGAAGTACTACTGGCTGGTTTGTGTGAGAGAAAAATACTGTTTCGGCTAGAAATTTACGATCGTTTATGACAAGCCACAGCCAAACGAACAGGCTGCAACAGAATGTAATACATAAAGAAATTAGATTTCATATCATCACTAGACAAATGTTGTGCTAACTATTATAAGTGCACGTCATACGAGCCTAGGTCACTTACGAGATTTGAAGGCTAGGTATAAATCTAAATACAAAACAAATAAACTAATTTTGAATTCGCTTTCGGATATCACGATCCCAGGCATCCTCACTTCGTCCGATACGAATCCGAATACAAAATGAATAGCTGAACTAATAACCTAAATTATTCAAGCAAGATACTCCTGAGATATGGTTGTTCATGGGATGGGAACAACTTTCTTACATGTGACAGAATGAATAGAAATATGGAACATAAGAATTGAAAAGCTCATTTTTATTTATGAGTAATTACCTGTTTCAATCAGAAAGCTATAAGTTCATTCTAGGTGGGCATTTCAACATGGTGTCCACTACACTCACGTTACTCATCAAATATCACATTGGGTGAGATTGAGAGTGCTGCATAGTTGATTTGCATCTTGTGGCACTAGTTGAGAGTGATGGCTTTGTTTTTTTCTTGTTACTCTTTGGCATGATTGTTGTCATCTAGCTGCCTTGGAGTTGATTGAGATTGTCGAGCACTACATGGTGATTGTGCCAGGGCTCCGATCAAGGTTGTGAGATACTAATGATCTTTTATCTTTGTTATTTGCTTGTGCTTTTACATCCTTGTTATTTTCTTCTACGGTTGTAGTTGGTAGAAATAGCTAGTTTAGTTGCTTCACTAGTTTAGCTAGACTAGAGCAATATGTTAGCCTCTTTGTTTGATTGAGTGCTCTAGTAGTTGTTCAAGGCTTGCTAGTAGACTTGTGTAGGTGGCATGCATTGGGTGAATTAGGCTAGGCAAAGTAATGGCTATTAGGTTCTCATTTTGTACTAACTACTTTACTATAGTGTTGTGCAATTTGTAAAGAAATTTTCATATGCTATTCACCAAAACCAAAAATATACGTATAAGAATACTAAACAAATTGGATAAAAAATTAAATTGAGATAACATGTTGCTTTATTTCATAAGCACATGATTATAGTCAATTCCCATTAATTTTCTAAGATTGAAGGTGATTAGTAGTCAACTTTACGTTTTTTATATGACAATGTAATAAAATCTTAATTTGGTATGTTTGATTAAGAAAACTATTTAAATTTAATTATTTGGCACAAAAAATATTTTTTTTAAAAATTTAAGTGTATATCTACAGATTTATTTGAACTATACTTTGCATTTGGAAGCACAGCCGCCAAAACAAAGGCCAAAACGCCGAAACCCAACTGCCCGCGCATTTTCAGTGAAGAAATCCCGCCATCGGCTAGTACCACCCAAAAGCCAAAACCTATCATAGCCGTCCGATCCCAGCCCTGCCAATCGGATGCCCTCCACGCCCACGTCCAGAGGCCACCCCGTCGACCGTATCCTGCGGCGCCGTCAACGCAGAAACTTCCACCTCGCCACATCCGTTTCCTCTTCTTCCTCTTCCTCCGCGCCCACTCCACGCGCCGACGCCACACACCGCCGGCTCGCAGGCTCCGCCTGCTCTTCCTCTCCCCCGGCCGCGACACACGCGCCTCGCAGGCTCCGCGTCCTCTTCCTTTCGCCCTGTCGCGATTTGTGCCACACATGGTCACCGGCATCGTTCTCCTCGCCCTTGCCCTTTGACCCGTCCAGATAGGAAAGGGGAAGAAAGGCCATTGTACCCTGCCATCGTACCACCGCATCGGCCAGACGGCCACCGCTGTTCACCCAGCAGCGGCAGCCGGCCACGGCTGCCCGTGTAGGCCAAACCAGGCAGCCCCCAGCCAGCTGCAGTAGCGACGCCGCCGGCACCGTGTAACAGAGCTTCACTCTGCACAGGCAAACGCCAAACAGGCAGCAACGTTGCAGGCAAGCATTTTATTTTAATTTCAGTAATTCAGTTCCTCAGACACTCTGCCGTTGGGGAAGAGATCATTGTTGGCCTGACCATCAAACCAGCTTGGTCAGCGTGGTAGTCATAGGATAGCAGCTAATTAGTTTTTTTTTGTTATCTCTCCATTATTTGATTGCCTGATGGATGCTGCCTTTGCAGAATAAAACAGTGCTGGTATAATGGTTTCTTAACGTACCAGTGATAGGATAGCAGTTAATTACCTTTCTTTTATTTATCTCTCCATTATTCCTTGCCTGATGCATGCCTTTGGGGAATAGAACAATGTTGGTATAATGGTTTGGTTCCGTCAGTTTGGTCAGTGCTTATGCCAGCGATGGTTATGTTACCATATGAATGTTCGTCTAAATTGTCAGTTTGGTCAGTGCTTATACCAGGTGGTCGCCGTCGCCGCCGCCTACCAGGAGGTCGCCGTCTACTCCGTCCAAGAGGTTGCCGTCTCCTCCCTCCATGAGCTCGCCATCTCCTCCGTCCAGCAGGAGGTTCTCCACGCGGTCCAGCCCTGAAGGTGTCAGACACACCTCATCGTCGACAAGATGGACCCGAGAAGCAAAAAGATGACCAACCCAGGTACCTGTCGATATGCAGTTTATGTGCTGGTTGGAGAATTTCCGTCAATTAATTGGTTGGTCAATTAATTAATTAATTGAACTCTATTTAAAAAAATTCAATTGAGTGCCACATACAAGGCGAGCTCAATTGAGTGCCACATACAAGGCATACAACAGTTATCATGAAAGAATGAGACATAAGCCACGTGATTTGGACATTGTGGAGTGGCACTACTTGGTGTTGTATTTTGGAAGTGACAAATTCCAGGTTCCAAGCCTCTGACATATATGTGTTTATTGTCTGTATTTTTGTAGTGCAACTAACATATCTGTCTTTATATTAGCGAATAAGCACAACAAACTCTAGCAATTCACAGCATCGACATACAATACATCTTACAGGATCAAAACCTTTTTCACAAGTTAGTTATGAGCAGGTAATGATATGGAACCTAATCTTCTTCTTTTATTTTTTACCTAAACAGTAACAATGTTCAATTTTCACATCTTAGAGAAACCTGGAGACTGGTGAAGAGCCAGATGGTTTGACATTTTGGAGGAGTACACGCACCAAGGAGGGCCGATGGTCTTCTGATGCTGCTAAGGAAATATATGTAAGTGCTACTTTGTTCATTAGTACTTAGTGATGTTGCAATTATATATAACATAATTATTATATTGATGGTTGTACATGCCCTGATTGGGTGATAAAAGGTCATCATCTCCTTGTCCTTGTGTTGGGTTTGGCAATCCTATCTTTAGTTTCTTATTTATGCTATTTTCAGTTGTGCCACCTGTTCTTTTTGGTATAGCAAGTTTGGATGAGCCAAATGCTTCCAAACTTTTTCTGTGGTCTCCTGATAGCATATGGTAGCTGCTGTAATTTTTGTAGAATTTTCTATGCAAGTCTTGTATATGGTCTTTTATGCATCCTTGTATCTATTTAAATTTAGAAAAGCAACAAATAATTTTATTTTATGATGGCCATCATATTTTCTGGTGTCCATGAGTTATGTATGTTTCCATGATATGGTTGGTATGGTCCAAATGTAAGTTTGGAATATCGTTAATTCTTTAAGTGAGATGTTGGTCCCATTTGGACAGATCTGGGGACTTAGAGAAGTTCACCTTGATAAGTTGGTTTCCTAGGAAACTTGTGAATACCAAAGTCGAAGATAATTGTCATATCTAGCTTCTGTTCAAATTTGAGGTCATTTGGCCTAGTGGTTTGAAAGTTACAGGTGTTTGAAGTTACCTCCCAGTTTTTGGGTGCTCTCTGTTTCAACAGAGTAGTTTCTGTAATTCTGCTATTTCAAAGTACTTAAGTTCTGAATCATGCTTCGATGTATGAAGATGAAATCTCGAGAATTTTATAAGCTTTCCAGAATGTCCTCTTGCAAGTCATTTGGACTTGTATATCTCCATATATGATTTATTTTCTGTACAGCTGTTGAATGCCCAGATTTCTGGGAACTTGCTGGAAAGCAAGTTGCTTATGTTAGATGCTTTATGTAGTTAATTATGTTCTTTAAAGTGATTTGAATAGAGTTGGGATACTCGGTAAATGAGCGTCCAGTGATGTATGTTCTCATAACATGTTTTATTCATTTATCTCCAATGTCATACATATCTCTGAAATGCTAGAGTTCAATTGTCCATTGCTTTTTACCTCTCAACATGCTTTGCTAGGAATCATATTTGCATGATTCACATGGACTTGGATTTTTTTAGGAAGTAATTAGTACATGAATCTAACTCATACAGTTTGATTTCTAAAGTATCCATTTTACCTAATTCTTATTATACTTGAACTGGAACTGCTGTTGCTACTTGCTAAAGTTGAAAACACTAATTGTGTTCTTAAATTTAGGAAAGCGCCTTCTCTAAAATTGCAGAGAGAATTGAGTTGGAAGCTTATGTGATTTCAAAAGAACAAGAAAGGCACATTCTTCATGAAACCTACAAGCAAAAACCATTGGATGCAGGAGCAGGAAAGGTCCTGGACATGGATACTTGGCAAAGTATCCGACCTGAAGCCAAGTTATGAATGAACGAATTGAAGAGCAGGCTCATGTGAAATGACCCCGATTTCCGCGAAGGGAAATCCACAGTGTCGAAGTGTAATAAGACCGTTGTAGATCATATTACCCCAAATTCCAGTCGAATATCACATCCATACAACGATAATATCAGAGTACAAGTAGTGCGGAATTACATAAATTTATTACATCGCCGCATTGGCGGAATCAAAAGTAGCATTCATTCAGAACAGCTTGAAGATAAGATCGCCAAACTCGAACGTAGGAACGAACCCCTCAACCGTCCAACTCCTCGGAGCTATACTCCTCAGCAGAACCTGTGTGCCAAAATTTATCAGTACGATTTGTACTGGCCACTACCAACCCTATGAGCATTGCTTTGTGGAAATTGGATGCAAGTTGGATATACTCAAAAGGAACCTATAAGGCTGGGGTTTCCTATGTATTTAGCATATCAAGTACATAATAACAGTTGGTCAAGTTTTAACACCATTCCCACACCCGTTCCACCCCATTCCCATTCCAGAGCCAGGTTTCGATCCTGGGATCGATATACCACCATCTCCCCACCATCACCATACCACCCCCATACCATCGCTCAGTCGACAGGCCAACTCCCTCTCGGCACTGTCTCAAGGCCCGTAGCCCCTAGCTACGTCCGAACACTCACTCCTGGGGGGAGAAGAGAAGGACTCATCTCACTATCTAGTTTAAGCGAAACCCAGGAAAGGTCCATAGCCGACGAGTCGGCATATGTATCGATCGATCAACCATACACTCTGCAGAGGTTTTACATAACCACAAGATCCACCTTCCCCGCTGACCGTCGTCAACTGGGCTGATTCCGGCCGCTTGCTAGCCTAGGATAATGTCACTCTACCATTCAGCCCTGGTACACCCCAAGTCTAGTCTGGGGTGGCTGAAACTGTGAGTCATGAGCCGGGTCCACAAGGTCTCCATGAAGTCTCGGAAGGGTGTGGGGGAAATCCTCTGCACCCCATACCTCCCTCACACTGTCCGCTATCAACCTAGCAGTAGTGGCAATATCCTACCAAGTAGTCCGGCCGTCCCGCACCATATAGGGCAAGTGGTACGTAAGGCTTCCCGGTGAGTCTGAGTACTAGTGAGTCCTTAGGGATGACCAAGCCAGAATGTCTTCATCAGGGTTTCCATTTACCGTGCCACCACAGCACCTCCACCCTGGGCTCCTCCCATCACAGGATCACACCTAGGGCCACCTCATATACCATTTACCCACCACAGATATCCATTCTAGGGGTGCCCAGGTAGCACCCCATGGCAAGACTTGCCCTAGGCTCGTCGTATACTCCAACTTGGTCGACACAACCCTCACCCTCCACGCACCCAAGTCACACACGCAGCACTCTCCCCAGTCTAGATAACACCAGTTCTCCACCACGCACCATGTAGTGCAAGCGTAGTAGAAGTAATAAGCAATGAAATATAGTAGCAAGCGTGTGACTAGCCTAACAGCAGGGTGAGCAGGGGTAAGGTTGCGTCAAGGTAAAGGTCATCAAGAAAGCATACTACCATGCAAGTCCTATCATGGTGTGATCATAACAATAAGGTAAAGCACTAGCATTTCTATTTTAGCCATGCGTAATAGGTGCTACGAGATTGGGTGGGATGTGGCACCTTCAGTGTAGTCGTCTCCGTACTCCTCATGGTACTCACGATCCTCGTCCATCTGGTTCTCCTCCGAGTATGCAAACGATCGTGTTATAGTCGTGTTAGCGACATCTATAGAATAGCACAAGGAAGCAATGAAAATTCAAAAGAGCCAAATGCACTCAAACATGGGTTCATTGCGTAGAGCTTGATTTTAGATGAATTTTGGTCCTGGTTTCATATTTTTCTGAGGTCATATGAATTAGTTATGAATTTCTGAAGATTAAATCCATTTCTGAAAATAAAAAAAGGCTGAATTAATCCTGGGCTGACACGTTTGAGTGCAAGTCAACGTCGGTGGGTCACTGACAAGTGGGTCCTATCAAAGTCAACATCGGTCAACGGCAAGTCAACGGTCAACGGTCAACGGTCAGGGTCACTGATGTGTGGGGCCTGGGCAGCTGACATCACCGTGACGTCAGCATGGCGTCACCCCGGCTACGCTGGCTTCTGACGTGTGGGTCCCGCATGACGTCATCATCTGACGTGTGGGTCCAGTGTGTTTGTTCCACTAACACGTGGGACCAGGTCAACGGTCAACGTTGACCGGTCAACGATCAATACGGGCCGGGTGTCGTCTGGGCCTGGACAGGGCTGGATTTGGGCCGATCTAGGCCGTGCTGACCCGGACACGTGGCGTGCTGCGACGCTGCCACATCGTAGTCGTGGGCTCTTACTGGGCTGTGGTCTTCGGCTGTGGGCGTGAGCGTGGCTCATGGTGGACCCAAGTTCACGGTCCATGGACCTAAGGCAGGGTCCACGGTGGACCAAGTCCACTACTCTCTCCTCGGGCATGGTCCACGAGCTCCGGGTTCATGCACAGGTGGTCGGCGAGGGGAGTTTCCCTTGTTTCCTTCCCGGCGGCTTACACGCCAGCGGCGAGCGCCCGGTGAGCCTCGCCAGTGATGCTAGTGCGCAATCGATGAGGGTGGAAGGTCCACCGAGCCTCGGCGTCTTCATCGGTGGGGTTCACATGGCGTGCGGGGTCCCGTGGTGTGCCGGCCACGGCGGCGGTCTTTCGGGCACGACGGCGGCGTCGGTGAGGTGGCTACGGCCTCGTAGAGGCGTCTTGGTGGTGTGTGTGAGCTTCACGTGGTTTCTACGGGCACAGCGGTGTTCAAGCGCTGCCCTGGCGGCCTTCGGTGATGGCTGGCCGCGTGCACGGAGGCATCGACAAGGTTTCAAACGGCGGCGAGCTCGTTGGTGAGCCTCCGTGGTGGCGCTAGCGTCTGGTTTAGGCAGGTAAA